CTCATCAGCTCACCCCAAAGTCTGTTCATGCGGCCAACAGACAGCCTGTCGCATCAACAAATGCTAGCATTTGAAAATTCTACATATATTTTGAGTAGATAACCGATAGTATATTCTCAGTGAAGGGTTTCACCCTGTGTGCTTCCACAATGAATAAGGATAGTTTGAGAGATGCAAGAAAAGTAAATATGATATATCTTATACGTACAATAGGTCATAGCTACAGCAGAAAAAGTAAGATCATACTTTGAATTAAGACGAGTAAAATTAAAATATTCGCTCAAGACAAACTTTACTTATGCAGCGTCTCTGAAAATGTGTGGTGATTTTCTAAATGATACAACTTAATCTAAATAAGAGCAATGTAGAGTCCTGGGATTTCTTTTAAAACAAAAACATTGTGACAAACTTTGACAACATGTTTCATGTCGCATGCTATTTGAAATAAGATCTAAGATGCCAAAGGACAGTTCTTGATTTATAACATTTTTATTTGATTTTTGAACAAACGATGTTTAGTAAAAATAATATCTTTATGCAAATCATTTATATCATACAGAAGTCTTCTAAGAAGATAAATAGAAGATATGATTTTAATAAAACTTTAAAGATTTGATTTAGACAGTCTTTTAATTTTAAAAGATCTAATTTAAACTTTTAAGATTATACTTTTAAATGAATTTAATTTGAATAAACCTATAAAAAGCAGACTAGCATTGCATACGCTGTGACATAATTGTGCCCCAGAGGCTCATCTGGCATGTAACTCCTCCGTCTCTGTGCGGGTCTGAAGCTTCATCTCACCCTGTAGCTTATCACTGAAGGATCTGGGAGGGCTTTGTTTGTTTATCACAACTTACACTATTTGCTTTTTGAATTGTTTTTTATCATTGCATAGATCTAGATTCTACTACTTCTTCAGTTCTATGAAAATGTAAGGAGTTTTTTTTATAATTATAGATGTAATTTATATATATATTTATATTTATAAATATATTAATTAAGATAAAACTATGTTTAATTTGTATGAATACATTTTAGTAGCATATGTGTTATTATTCATTGAGTTATATACTTTATTTATAATAATTTAATTTTAAAATAGAGATTTTATGGAGCCGCAAAACACCTTAGAAATTATATTAAATTACTTATTTTTATTTATTTTGAAAATGTAAAAATGCAGCTTTCAGGTGTACACGGTAGAATATGCTGTTACAGTACAAAAATCATTATGGCTATATTAATAAAAATTATACTTTAGGTCACTGTTAAACAAAATCCTTACAGTAATCTTCTAAAAGATAAATAGAAGATACGAATGTATTAAAACTATAAAGATTTCATTTAAACCATCTTTTCATTTTAAAATATTTAAACTTTTACGATTATGATTAAATAAAAATAAAAATAAATAAATAAATAAAAAATATAGTCAAGTTTTTCCACGATGTAGCATATTTGTTTTATGAATTAATTTAATTTAAAATATCTTGTATTTTTAAAATATATAATTTAAACTTTTAATGATTATACTATGAAATAAGATTAACACTAATCGAACACATGCAATGTCTCGTTCTGACCGCTGAAAAGACACACACACACACACACACACACACACACACACACACACACACACAGACAATGCATGCCTGTCAAGCGAGGGGGAGAGAGAATTACTTGTGGGATCTTTTCAACTTTAAATGTATGGACATCTTAGGAACTACTTCGTCAACCGGCTGAAAAAGTAAGATGATTTTATTTTTGACACCAGTTCATAACCTGTATGTATTCTTCTAATCTATAAAACATGTCGGATGATTTTTATCTAAAATAATAACTTTAGTTATTTATTTAAAAAATGAACGATAAAAGCATTTTATTAATATACTTTTAAATGAAAAATGTTTTTCAACTTAAGTTAGTGTGAAATAATATATTTGTAAATTACTAGATGTAAATTTTAACCATTTCATTTATATAGAGCATGATGTTTTTCAACTTTAGTGTGAAATATATGATACATATTGTCCTCACTTGGAGGGGTATCATGTAACACACACACACACACACACACAGATAAGCGTGCGTCCCGGGCCCCTGTGACTTAGAGGTTTTCAGGATTCAGAGAGGTCTAAAGTAATTTATTGCCGATGATATCACCCATTTCTTACACATACACACACACACACACACAGATACACACCACTCCGGTCAAGCGTGGGGGAGAGAGAGAATCACTGGGGGACAACTTTAAACTCATCTTTTACATCTTTTGTAAACCATTCATATTGTATGGACATCTTAGGAACTACTTCTTCAACTCGGTGAAAAAGTAAGATGGTTTTATTTTGTGAACCGTTAGCAACCTGTATGTTTTCTTCTAATCTATAGAACATGCCGGATGATTTTTATCTAAAATAATTGGATCAGTACATTTAGTTATTTATTTTACAATGAATGAGAAAAGCATTTTATTTATTTGTTTATCTAGTTAGTTAGTTAGTTAGTTAGTTAGTTAGTTAAAACCTTTATTCATCCCCATAGGGGAAATTCAGATGTCCAGTTTTTTTTTTTTTTTTTATCTAAAATAATTGGATCAGTACATTTTAGTTATTTATTTTACAATGAATGATAAAAGCATTTTATTTATATACTTTTAAATGAACAATGTTGTTCAACTTTAGTTAGTGCACGATATTTTCTCACTTTCACATCCCCGCAAATTTATAGCCCCTGGTTCAGGAATGCGGAGGGTATCATGTAACACACACACAGACACACAGATGCAGATGCTTAGTGCGGTGACCATGGCTGTCATGAAAAAAGGCCGGTGAGAGAGAGAGTCACTCGGAGGAACATCTTTGGGGAACGTCTGATAAAGTAAGATCATTTTTATTTCATCGCTCTAAAACATGTTGAATGATTTCTGTTTTGAAATGATTGGTTCTGTTAGATATTTATTTTGAATGAACAATGTTATTTTGCCCAACTGTCACACAGACACAAACAGCCACACACACACACACACACACACACACACAGACACACTGCGATCTTTTTTAGTTAAACTAATGTCTCAGACCTTTGCCAAAAACATCTGGCACCATCAAAGCCAAAACATCAGACAAACCAATGACATATTTATACCCCCTCGGTCAAAGGGTCAAATCATCCATCAAAACAACCTGTCAAAACTTTCTGTCAACCAAATGATCGAACGCTCATTAGGGCAAAGGTTAATCCATCAATCTCGGAAACGGGAAGGGCTAGGTCAAAGGTTAATCCATCAACCCCGGAAACCGGGAGGGGTAGGTCAAAGGTTAATCCATGACCCCGGAAACAGGAAGGGCAAGGGGAGGGGCAAGGTCAAAGGTCACCATCAATCATTTTGACACAAGCTGTAGGGTTATAACTACTTACGCGGAGGTATGGAAATACATGTTGACAGACAGGAAGGACAATGGTCCAGTCCCAAATGGCACCCTAAGCCCTCGCAGTCTTCCAACGGGTCCGCACTTTCCTGACGTAACGCCGCTTTGACTGTCCGGAAGAAGTCTGCTGTGGAGCTCGCATCAGTGCGGGCTCGACAAAGGTGCAAAATAAAATAACAAATGGGACACCCGCCTAGGGTCTCATGGACTTATCACTTGTATCGTTGCCCTCGGAACACAAGGACAAAGCTGGCGAACAGGAAGCCCAAGGGGAATCAGTGCTGCTAAGAGGAACCTGCTAAGGAGGAGTCGTAGGGAGCCAGCGGAGACTGGGCCGAAGAACTAGGTAGCATAGGCAAAGGATTATGAGATGCACTTCTTGGCAGTGACATGAGGGGCAGAGAGTTCAGAAACAGTCTCCTTTGGCTGATACGGGATGGGCAGAGGAGGTGAGAGTGGGAGCATCATAAACTACTATGACATGGTGCTGGGAGACAAAACTAATCCATTCCTCAATGTTTACAATGGGGTTCGAGCTCAGCGCACTCACATCAGCATTGGCACTTTGGGTGGGGCTCCATTCCACACCATCGTACTCAATGAGAGTGTGTACCGGAACGAGCTTCACCTCCTTGCAGGCCTTCGGCTTTTTATTCACGGCAGGCTCTGTTGGTCAGGTCAGTTGGTGGCAAGGTGTGCTGTGGGCGCTAGCTTGTCTGGACCATGGTCTGGACCCTCCTCACTCTCTCCAATGGTGGGGATCAGCACTGATGTAACACCCACTCGACACACTCTTGGAACGTCCCTTGAGGGTCATCTCTGGGCAGGAACGACTTGACCCGTTGATTCAGGCCTGCTTGGAAAAACACGCAGAGGCTTGTGCACTCATAATGCACGCAAGGAACCAGATCTAGAAACCTCTGCTTCTGCACCTCGAGGAACAGGATCCAAACTGCTGTTAGATCCATTTTTCAGATCAGATCTTCTCACAGACTGGATGTGGCAAAAAACGAACCTGAACCTCTTCCCAAGCAGTATCTTTAATCAAAACAAACTAAAACACTACTCAGGGTATCAGGAAACAAAAACATGGTAAACAGAACAAACACTAATACATGACAAGATCTGACTAAGTAACAAACAGAGGACTATAAATACACAGGGACACACTAGGGACTAAACAAGACAATTAACTAGACAGAGGTGTAACACATGAGGACAAATCAAAAAACATGGCAACAGATAAAGTGTGTCAAAGGAGACATGAGATACCACAGGAAACTGAACTGGGAACAATGCGAAACTAAACTACTCAAGCAAAACACAAACACAGATCAAACGTGACAGTTGTAGTCAATGCATGCTTTTTCCTATGAGCTTTTTGTTTTTCTATGCAGTAAAATAAAACCTGTAACTGTAGTCTATCTTTTGTTGCCAAATAATTTTGTCAGATAAACAACTTAACCAAGTTTAGTGTTTTGTTCTTCCCTCATCTTTAAAAAATAAAATATGTTGATTTCAGGATGAGTGAAATAACAATGGACTGTGTTGTTGACTCAACAGCATGAGCGTTTAGGTGATATTTGCTTGTCTCTACGCTATGTACCCACTGCTGGAAAGCTGACCGTTGTCGTTCTGGAGGCCAAAAACCTCAAAAAAATGGATGTGGGTGGTCTCTCAGGTGGGTGAAAAATTATATAATGACACATTTCAGATCACAGGTCTGAAATATCTTTCCACCTAGTTCACTGATTTTGACATTATATTTCTGTTCTACAGACCCATATGTAAAAATCCACCTGATGCAGAATGGCAAAAGACTGAAAAAAAAGAAAACCACAATTAAGAAAAACACACTAAACCCATATTACAACGAATCATTTAGTTTTGAAGTTCCATCTGAGCACATTCAGGTAGAGTTCTGTTCATCTTAAAATTATTACTTCTGAAATGGAACACACTGATGGTTCTTGTCTTGTCTCCTTATAGAAAGTGCAGGTTGTGGTGACGGCGTTAGACTATGACAAAATTGGGAAGAATGATGCCATTGGAAAGGTTTTCCTTGGACTGAACAGCTCAGGAACGGAGCAGCGCCATTGGTCAGATATGTTAGCCAATCCAAGAAGACCCATCGCCCAATGGCATGCCCTTAAAACTGAAGAGGATGTGGATGCTGAACTGACAAATAAGTGAAGCTGTCTGTGCGTGTGTGAGCATTCGCATACTTAAATATTCAGCAGTCTGCTTTTATTTGTGAAGTTTGTGTGTATATGTATGTGTATGTGGGTAGAGGATGAGGTAGATCTACTAAAATCTCCTCTCTCTCAGCCACATTAATCATCAGAACCATTCATTTTCAGTATCTTGTGTGCAGATTGTGCAAAGATAAATTAAACGATGTATTAAATATGTAAAAACTGTATTAAAGACAACATGAAACGGCATTAACAATGCAGCTTCTGTTATAACATTTCTCAGTTTGAAACACAATACTTAGAAAATAATGGTGAAATGTATGTTATTACAATATTTGTTGATATATCTTTTCCCCACATGTGCAAAAAAGTAATTTCAGAAGTGGATAAAGTTATTACATTTTGATTAGGCAATTTTCTCTTTTCTCTAGAATGATGCCCACTAATGAATTGTGCATAAGACCTATAACATCTATTAAGAAGATAAACTTATTTTGACTTCACAGAATAGAACAGTATTACTTTCAGCAATGGCACAACAAACACATCTTAATTAAGACACAATTTAATATAATTGCACATAAATATACAAAATCAATGACGAGTTCCATGTGATCCTCACAAATTACATGTATATGTAATGAATTATACATTAAATAGAACATATAAATTATACGGAACAATTGGAAGTATGCAGTATATATATTCAGGTTTTTGCAATATCACTGTTATTTGTAATAGTAAACTGGGTTGCAAAGGCAATTTTCATTTTATTTATTCTCTTGACAAAATACAATAAGTCATACATTTGCTTGCATAAGTTTCCTGATTTCATGCACTGACAGTTCAAATGCTGAAATGTTCATTTTCCAGCAGTGGATCTGTATGTTCTTCTTTGTTCTAAGACACACAGGGTCAGATATTACATTAATCATAAAATAAATAACCATTAATCTTGCATTTATAACAGCATATTGTGGAGTTTGAAGGTGTGAATGCTGTACCTGCATTACACTGATGTAGTCCTTTCTGTAGGAGGCGCTGTAGGACTGCATACCTCTCCAAATAAGAAAAAGGCTGTACATGGCAGCAAACATGCACTGGAGGATGGACATTACACCACTGCCCTTCAGCACATGCACACCAATGCGCTGAGAGAGAGAGAGAGAGAGAGAGAGAGAGAGAGAGAGAGAGAGAGAGAGAGAGAGAGAGAGAGAGAGATATGAACTCATTTCCAGTGGTTTGCCAATGGCTTATTAGTGAGTGTCAGTGTCTCTATATTCACACCTGCTGAGGGGTGGCTTTGTCAAGTTGTGAGGATTTCATAAAGAAGGGGAAAACAGAACAAACTGCAAACAGCAAGCCGAAGATGTTCAGGCCCATCAGAGTCATGACCTACAACACAGGACATATCTCATATTATTACTCAAACAAGCAGCCTATATGATATGTTACGATGTTAACATATGACATATCATATGCTATGATATGTCATATTGCCAAGAGAGAACTGCTTGTGGTTTCGGCCAACCCAACACTATCAAAACTTGTCCATTCAGCTAGGCTCATCTACCATAACTCCTTCCAGGACAGCCAGGAACCTTGATCAGCTAAAATTTACAGAACACATTGTTAGAACTGCCCGGTCCTACAGATTTGCCTTATCATTGGGAAGATCAGGCCTTTTCTATCGGAACATACTTCTGGTCCAAGCATTAGTTAGTCAAGACAAAATACTGTTTGCCTACAACTATATCTTTAATGCGTTGTCATTTTTAACTCAACAAACATCTTGGTATAAACTGCTTGAAAAGTGTGTTTGTGCTCTTTTTATTTATTTATTAAATTTCAGTTTGATGTTTTGTTGTCTGATGATATTCAGATATTTATGTCCAAATCAAATGTTTCTTGTATAGTTTGGGACGAATGTATGTGTATGTTCTTATTACCAATTACATTTAACCATTTAGAAGATGCTTTTGTCCAAAGCGACTTACAAATGAGGAGAACAATAGAAGCAGTTAAACAAACAAAAGAGCAACAATATGTAAATGTTGCGACTAGTCTCAGTTAGTCTAGCAAGGTTTTTGTTTTTTAAATAGAATAGAAATATAATAGAAAGTGTTCATATTAATGGGTCAAGTGTTGACGAAAAAATGCGTCTTTAGCCGTTTCTTGAAAATGGTCATTCCACTAGCAGAGAACAGTCAAGGTAAAGGTCTGTGAAAGTGATTTTGTGCCACTTTGGGATGGCACCACTTGGCGGCGTTCATTTGCGTTACAGGGGTACAGGGGTGCAGAGCCAGTGGTTGTTCTGTAGGCAAACATCAGTGCCTTGAATTTAATGGGAGCTGCAATTGGCAACCAATGCAAGTTTATGAAGAGAGGTGTGGCGTGCTCTCTCTTCGGCTCATTAAAGACCACTCTCACTGCTGCATTCTGGATCAGTTGCAAAGGTTTGACAGTACATGCTGGAAGGCCTGCCAAGAGAGCACTACAATAGTCCAGCCTAGATAGAATGAAGTATGCTTATACTTTGGGTCACTGTAGCTGGTTAAGGTGGAAACTCATTAAGGTCATAAAAAAAAGACATAAAACAAACTTACTTTGAATTTTTTGGGTTTCCTCTGGACGTCAATTGCAAGTGACCCGGTGGCTATAAACTAAGACATAAACATGAATATGATACAGATGTTTAAAAAACAACTAATTAGCTAACTCTAGCATGTGATAATTGCTTTGTTCAGATTTTCTGATAGTCAAATTTGGGAACCAGAAATGTTAATTTGAGCACTTACAAACAGACCACACCATACTGGAGCTGTCAAAGACGCAGAACAGCTGAAAGTCAAACAAGTATACGAGAAGGTGGAGAGAATACAGAAGACAGCACTGAAAATCTGAACAACCTGAGAGAGAAGAACAGAAAGAGAAAAAAAAAAGATTCACAGTACATACTGTCTAAAATAGCATGTGAAGCAGTAATGATATGCAACAATAAATCTTTCAAATATTAGAATGCCACATTTTGCATGTTTAATTAAGTGAGTGGTGTTCATGGTTACTATTTTTTTTTTTTTATATCTTTTTGGCAGTCCAATCAAATAATGAGTCAAGAAAAAGATAAACGATAAATAAAAGAAAATATCATTGTTGATATAGCTATCATGTAAAATTTAAAGTGTTTATGGTTTAAGTTCCTAATCCTAGTTAAACTGAAAATTAAAGGTGAAGTTGACCTTCAAAAATTGGAAGGGATGCATGTGTGTACTTTTGTTATATACCACTATTTTGTCAAATGTTGCAAGTCATCCAACTTCCAAGGATTTTATGTAATACAGAAAAATTAGCATACTATTCACTGTACATGTACTATATATTGCAGAAATGCGGCATAGTAATATGCTTTTTTTGGAAAGTCTAATACTATAGCCTACATTCAAAGATGAGCATACATGTTTCATGTAATCAGTTTTATTGGGTGTCAGACCTATTCGGACGGGATTAACTTTACAAGGGTAGGTGGAGTAATGTAATTTTACCACAGGAGTCGACAGGACGTCTGTACTATTAATGGTCAATTCGCACGGGATAAGATATCTCAGTAAAACTAGCAGAAGTGGGAGGGCCGGTGTTGGTTGGTTGGTTACACCCGCAAATCCCCGATGCTACAGTGGAGCTAGCAGATCGTACCATCCACCACCATGAACGGACCGAAGCCTCCGGTAAGATCAGGGGAGGTGGACACTGTGTTTATGTACTGGAAGATTGGTGCTCAGACAGTAGAGTAATTGACACCTACTGTTCACCGGACCTAGAGGCCATGTCTGTCCAGTGCCGACCTTTCTACCTGCCACGGGAGCTAACGGTAGCCATTGTGACTGTTGTTTACATCCACCCAAATGCTAACGTTAGCGCGGCACTCTGCCAGCTTCAGCTCATGGTAACCAAACAACAGAGGGCTCATCCGGATGGCGTTCACATCATCGCGGGGGACTTTAATAAAGCCCGACTTAAGACTGTTCTTCCCAAATTCCATCAGCACATCAAGTGTGTTACTAGGGGAGAAATTCATTAGATCATGTCTACTCTAACATTAAACATGCCTACAGAGCGTCCCCTCTACCCCACCTGGGACAATCAGACCACCTCTCCCTGCTCCTCTTCCCGGCCTACACCCCCCTCAGGAGGCAAACAAAACCAGCCACACAGACCATCACAGCCTGGCCTGAAAATGCTCTCATCCAGCTGCAAGACTGCTTCGCCTGTACAGAGTGGAGTATTTTTGAAGATCAGGACCTGGACATACACACCGAGTCTGTCCTCTTTTACATCAAGTGTTGTATTGAAAACGTCACAGTGAAGAGACGCATCCGGATCTTCCCAAACAGGAAGCCCTGGATGACAAGTGAAGTCCAGACCCTGATCAGAACTCGTAACTCTGCCTTCAGGACGGGAGACAGAGCTCTTTACAGTACCGCCAGAGCTGACCTGAGGAGGGGCATTAAACAGGCCAAGGACTTCTACAAGAGGAAAGTAGAGGGACATTTGATCGATAACAACCCGCGACAGATGTGGAGGGGTATCCAGGCCCTAACCAACTAAAAAGGCAGCCCCCCTCCCACATCCCCCAGCAGCAGCACCCTGGTAGAGGAGCTAAACAGCTTTTTTGCCCGGTTCGAGACCACCACCACCCACCTGCAGTCACTGCCTCCCCCTGGCTCCAGTACCCCACCTTTCTCTCTTCAGGAGCACGAGGTGAGGAAGAACCTGAGAGCAGTGAACCCCAGGAAAGCTGCTGGTCCCGACGGCATCCCGCGAGCGGTGGTTAAAGCATGTGCGGACCAGCTGACAGGGATCCTCACCAAACTCTTCAACCTCTCCCTGACACATGCCACCGTCCCCACATGTCTGAAGGGCTCTACCATCATCCCCATTCCCAAAAAACCTGTCATAGACAGCTTGAACAATTACAGACCCATCGCTCTAACGTCTGTAATCATGAAGTGCCTGGAGCGATCACTCTCTCAGCACATCAGAGACTGCCTCCCTCCCTCTTTCGACCCCCACCACTTTGCCTACAGGGCAAACCGGTCTACGGGGGATGCCATCGCCCTCACACTCCATACAGCGCTGAGTCACCTGGAAAACAAGAAGAGCTATGTGAGGATGCTCTTCGTGGACTTCAGCTCAGCGTTCAATACAATCATTCCGGACATTCTTTACAGTAAACTGATACAGCTACAGATCCCCCTCCCCACCTGCATCTGGATTAAAAACTTCCTGTCGAGCCGCCCACAACATGTGAGACTAGGCACCCACCTCTCCTCCACACTCACACTCAGCACTGGTTCCCCTCAAGGCTGCGTTCTGAGCCCTCTGCTGTACGCCCTGTACACCTACGACTGCTCTCGAACCCACCCAACCAACCACATTATAAAATATGCGGATGACACTACAGTAGTTGAATGCATCTACGACGGGGACGAGACAGCGTACAGGGCAGAGGTGAAAGATCTGTCTCGCTGGTGCTCAGACAATAACCTGACCCTGAATATCCTTAAAACAAAAGAATTAATTCTGGATTTCAGGAAGCACAGACAGGAATACGCCCCCCTCCTCATAAATGGAGATCGGGTTGAAATTGTCACCAACTTAAGGTTTCTGGGCACCCACTCCTGGAACTACAACATCAGGGCACTGGTTAAGAAGGCTCAGCAGCGGCTACACTTCCTGCGTGTCCTCAGGAAGAACAATCTGGACACGAAGCTGCTGCTTACACACTGCTTAAGTGTGTGGTACGCAGGTTCCAAAGCTGAGGATAGGAAGGCGGTGCAGAGGGTCATTAACACTGCCCAAAAGATCATCGGCTGCCCTCTGCCCAGCCTGGAAAACATCTCCACATCCTGTAGCCTCAGGAGAACCAAGGCCATCACAAGAGACCCCTCACACCCTGCCTACCCCCTATTTGATCTGTTGCCCTCTGGGAGACGCTACAGGTCACTCAAATCCCACACCAGCAGGCTGTCAAACAGCTTTTTCCCCAGGCCATACGAACTGCCAACACCTATGGACACTCACACACATAAGAGCAGACAATCAGCCCACCTCCCCCTACCTGCACTCTTGAAACAACTATAGACACTATAAGTTTTTAACTTTTTTTTTAGATTTTATGTATATATATACATTTTACAGCTGTGTTGTATATATAATTGGTGTCTCTTTTTTAATGAAAGAACATAGTTCGTTTAGCCTGTTTTGTCCTTGTCCTGAGGCATGTTGTTTTCTGTTTGTTTGTTTTCTGGTTTCTTTTTTTGTGTGGTGCAAGGGTGGCTCTGTTGGAGCACCCTAAATTTCGTTGTACCTCCACAGTGCAATGACAATAAAGTAGGGCTGTCAAATGATTAATCGTGATTAATCACATCCAAAATAAAAGTTTTTTTTACATAATATATGTGGGTGCAGTGTATAATTATTTTGTATATATATATATATAAATACACACACATGCATGTATATTTAAGAAAAAAATATTATTTATATATAAAATATTTATATTTATATATAATATAAATTATATATAAATCTATATACAGTATACATGAAAATATTTCTTAAATATATACAAGCATGTGTGTGTATTTATATATATAAAATAATTATACACAGTGCACCCACATATATTATGTAAAAAAAACTTTTATTTTGGATGTGATTAATCACGATTAATCATTTGACAGCCCTACAATAAAGGCTACTTTACTCTACTCGTTGAGCCGAATTTCGACTCCTGGCAAATGATTACCCCCCTAGCATTGGTAGGTTTAGGATTAGTTGTGGGGGAGGGGTTAGGATTAGGGGCAGGGTTGGGATTAGGCAATCAAGTACTGACTTCAACGAGGTAATAATTTGGCAGGGTCGGTCGAAATTAGGCACAACACCGGGGTAACTCGATTTGCGCATCGCCGTCAACCTCCCGTAGTCATGTGCGTATTACGCTGCTTCCTGATATTGCGTGCGCAAACACATTACACATATGACCTATATTTATATAAAACAGTATGTCTGGTTGAACGATGTATTAATTCACTTCAGATTGGATTGTGTTGATAGGCACTTACCTAACGCTAAAAGATGTTTCGTGCCTCTAAGTGCTTTCGATCTTATTTCTGATCTGTGGTATATGTGGAAAACACTTGTATTGAGTTTTGCCACAGACTTGTCCCAGCGTCAAGAACGCAAACTTGAAAAACCGCGGGAAACTATTTTTTAAACACGAAATGACGAAATATTTACTTGCATAATATTGTAACGCGTTACAATATTGACAGCGGGTCAATTCACACGGGATTAGTATTACCTGAGATCATTTTTTCCGGACCTTTTTACAGAAGGTAAAAGTCGCCGTAATCTTTACTGAGATTGTCCGTAATTATTACTGAGAGGGCACATTCGGACGAGATTAAAATCACCGAAGCTCTGGTAATTACTACTTTACCCCACTTCTCCATGTTAAACTAGTCCCGTCCAAATAGGGCGGCTATGACAGTTAAACTAGATTTTTGTTACCCCAGACAGAAGTATGCGGGTGTTGACCACTGTCCCAAACCAACGGACCAGTCTATCCTCAGTTGTGGAGTCAGCAGCTTCAGCAGCTGCAACTATGCTGGGCAAAGGGCGTTCCTTAAGAAACACCTGATGAAGTCCCTCCTGGAACATGTTCTGAGTCATCTGGGACTAAACAAGTGACATCATGAGAAACAATGGCAGCAAATGGTTTGGCTATGGTGAAATTCCAAAACTGATTTTGAATTTTTGTTGTGTAATTATTCGATTGGTCAACATATACATCTAGAGCAGTACAACTGAACATATGATTTACAGTCATGTCTGACAACAACAACAACAACAGCAAAAGTCTATATCTGACTGTTATTGACATACAAGTCCTCCCAAATAAAATAATGCATAACTTACCTCCGGAATCCCAGGCATTCGATATGAAACAGTCCAAAACAAGTCAACAAACAATGAAGTATACAGAACCACTTCAAGAAGATCCGTCTTCGTCAAATGCAGGGTCAAAGTTCTTTCTCAGGGTTCTTAAAGCCCGCCCAATAGGGAGAGTCCTGATCTGTGATTAGGCAGAATATGGCCAAAGGTTGCTTTAGTGTCATAGTTTCATATGAATCTTGTTGCTTCTAGAGCTGCTGTAAAGCCAAAACAATCTCTGTTACTTTAATTTCCTATTATCACTGTAAAGCTGCTTTGAAACAATCTATATTGTTAAAAGCGCTATATAAATGAAGTTGACTTGACTTAAAGTTAGTTTTATAATGGGTTATTTTATATTTGAATCTTTAATGGGTATATTTTTAGAATTAAACCAACAACAAAAATGCACACGTTAAAATAACATTCTATAAGTTGCTATAAGTGTGTTTATTGATAGTTAAACAAACATTCTATATTTTTATTTTATATAATAGCAAAAAAGCACTGGCAAATACAACAAAGTAGTAATGAGATAAACTATTGTATTAAACAAAAGTAAAATTAAAATGTAAAACTCATTAGCAAAAAAAATTATAAATAAAGAGCAGGTGCTTGTCTTATGTACATTTAGTCAGCTTCAGTTGCATAACACAAATATAAAATGTCTGCAAACATTTTTCTGATAAAATAACTACATGCTTAACTAGAGTAAGGAATGAGAGACAACAAAAAAAAAGATACCTGCAGCACCATCCCCCGGTCTTGGATGATTCTTTCTGAATTAACTCTATACTGTAAGAAACTGCACAAAAATGGTCTCTTTAGGGGTACAACAGCTAGTCACTGATGAAGGATCTAAAGAATTCAATAGCAACCTGTGTGTGTTTTTTATACTTATCAATTTTCTATTGTTGTTTAAATGTTATGATTGTGTGGTTTGAAGGGATGTTTGTCTTCATTTCATTCCTCCATTTCAAGGTTTTTAACGTTACAGGACGATGATGTGAAGCAGTAATTTTTTCCGTTGTTTTACCCTTGCTATAACAACACTTTCTGGAATTGTACTGGCCAGAAGAAGTCTTGAAACATACGCAACTAAAATTATTCAATAAACTGTGCTCAATTTATAATCATCACTTCATCTCCAGGGTCTGCTCCTCCATGGCTTTGTCAGTCAAACTCTTTTGGCTGATAGAAGACTGATATCTTCTGGCAGGGATTCGGCGTCTGGGGTCGAATCTATTATATCTGATATATATGACATGGAGATCCATCCGATCTAACATTTTGGCACGATCTAACACTGTGGAAGAACCCAGTTACACCTTTTCTGCCTTATCTATCCCTAAATGGTGCATATTAGTATATGGTACCTTAAAAGTACTTTTGGGGTAGATAAGGTATGTGGCGGGTTGAATGAGGACACAGAAAAATGCTCCGTTGTCTCATCCATTAAGCACAAATAAAAGCCTGACAATGCTAAATGTTCAGTTTTCTGATATTATAATTCACAAATTAAAATTTGGCAATAATGCAGTGTAATAATAATATGACCAACAGAGTTGTATGAAGCAAGTAATGGTGCTCTAATTATTTTATGGTTTTTATACTGTTTATATGGTATATATGATAATGTAATATAGGTATATAAAAAAAATTTAGTTACAAACGTGAACTTCCATAAATAACCCTTAGAGTATTGGTCTGTATTCAAACATTCCGAAACGCAAAGTAAAGCATTCACGTGACTGGAAAGAAAGAGATGCTTTGTTTCTGTTTGACCATGTATTTCTCTGAAAACAATACGTGCTCCGGCACGGAGATTGATGAGAAATTGCGCTGCATACTCGATACGCGCTTTGAAGCTTCAGTGTCATATGTAACATCACTACCTCTTGCCCCAGTGACATTTTTCTGTCAGAATGTATTAACACATTACAGCATATTTGATCACAGATTTCACATCACACTCTCCTATACATAGATACATAAATATCGAGGACATATCACTCATCTTCTCCTACAGCATACAAATCAGCCAGTCTCCTGAACTGAGGTCCCCAATTCTGCAGATCCTGGAAGTCCTGATCTCCATTGCTGATGGATGACTGCAGAGAGCTGAGAGATCCAGCTTCAGACCCCTCACCCTCATGAGCAAACACCAGCATGGAGTCATACGGCGCCACATAGTGGTCATCATCTGCTGTGCACAGGTTCTACAGAAACATAATCCAAATACATTACACATGAATTTAAATCATGATGCAGATTTCTGCAATTTGCAGAAATCATGGTGACTCTCATCCATATATACACACAAACACTCTACACATACTTCATAAATGAAGTGTCCGATATCTTCATTTTCCTCTGGATGTTGGCGATAGAAGACCGTATGTAAGGCCGGCGGGGCAATATCTGTAGAGAAAATCTCTGGACTCCAGCACAACAGCATCATATCATAGTCCTGTAACACACACATGTACATACACAACATAAACACGGAGTACAGTAAGGCTTAACAACAGTAAAACGCTTCAGTGGATTCAATGAACATGAAATGAGGAAGACCATGTGCACCTGGTCCTGTTCGCCGCCTCCTTCCTCATCGTAACAAAAGATATTGTCCCTGTCTTCTTGTTTCTGGCTAAACTGTTCCAACTTTCTCCCACACTTTCTCCTCAGGTAAAGAAACAACAGCAGAAACAGCACTAAAGAAAAGAAAAAAAATATATATTTGTACATATTATCAGCACGGTTATTAGTAGAGATTGCAAAGGCCAGCATCATTATAATAACTATAAATGTTTCTTGAGCAGCAAATCAGCGTATTAGAATGATTTCTGAAGGATCATGTGACACTGAAGACTGGAGTAATGATGCTGAAAATTCAGCTTTACATCACAGGAATAAATTACATTTAAAATATATTAAAGTACAAAACAGTTCTTTAAATTGTAATTATATTTTACAATATTAATGTTTTTACCATATACTTGATTAAATAAATGCAACCTTGGTGAGCATAAGAGACTTAGTTCATAACATGGTATTTCATAAATAGATTTACAAATATATATTTAGGAATTAAAATGTCATATTAAGGTTTATAAATCTGATTTATGAATCACATTTTTCTTGTTTGTAAACCCATATTTATGGGGCGTTTGCTTACCAAGAAAGCATAAGATAGCTGCTAAAACATAGACGGACAGGGTGGAGATGTTAGCAGCATATACACCGCTGGAGCAGGTCACGTCATCATCTTTACAGTCACACACCTCCACTATGATAGAACTGTCCTGAAATAACATCTTAGAGTCGTACACACGCAACAACAGGCTGTGTTCGCCAAGAGCCAAATGTCTGAGTGGTTTCAACCACGCCGCACAGCCTGAGAATACCACAGAGAAGATTGTGAGATATACAAATTGTTTATAAAAGATTAACAAAGCTTAATGTTAGCTGAACCAGTCTTACTGGAGTTGCTGATGATGGTCCAGTTTCTTTGATATTCTTTATGTAGTTCTATGATGAATGGTGGGCCGTTTTCTGGTCCATCTGGATCTGTGATGGTCAAACAAATGGCCTTTGGTTTTTTAGAACATATTGGGATTCTGCGCTGCTCCAGCACTGGAGCGTTGTCATTAACATCCAACAGCTTAATCACTAATGTGCCTGTTCCTGTGGCGGGCTCATCATCTAAAGAAAGAAATACAATGCAACAACTTTTAAGGCTTGAGGCCTTGCCTTGGTCAGAATAATTAATAAAGTGTGCAGTTTAAAAAGAGTAGGTCACCAGAAGAGTAAAATTCTGTAATCTGTAACAAGCAGTGTTTAGCAGAAAGTCTACTCTGCTCTCTGCGCTTTTATCTGTTTTTCAATACAAATGTGTTAGACGGACATCTGACCAACCGTTGCGCCATCAGTCCTGCGGATCTGCAGTTATTGAGTACTTTAATGACTGCAATAGGCTACTATATTATGCGTCTCGTTTTTTTTAAGAGCAAAATCACATTTTGTGTGATCATCCACTTAACGCCTGTCACTCAGAAGTAAAACAAAAAAAAGTAGTCAAATTGGACAGTGTGAAACTAAAGCGCTTCTCCTCATCCAAGTGGATGAAAAAAAAACATTGGCTGTGTTTAAAGGTCATTTTCAGTGATAGACATTGCAGAGTTTACCAGTGTTTTGGTACTAATGTATGAATGGTATCTTACTGTTAAAAAGACAGAACTCCATTGCTTACGTAACCAACATATTTGTGTACTGGAAAAGTTGTTCTGGTAATTTAACAGTAATTTACAGGGATTACTGTGTGAAAGGGGCTAATAACTACAGCTGTAAAGCTCCAAAAAGGACAAAAAAGGTTTGAGTATTCAACACAAAATAAAAAAAAATATTTATAAAAAAATTATGAAAGTCTAATAATATATTCCAAGTCTTCTAAATTCAACATCAGATGTGTTTTGAGCAACAGAGGAGTGAGTAGATGGCAAATTTCATTTTTGGCAGGACTATTCCAAGTCTTTAATCATCTAGATATTTAATTAAATTACCATTGTCATATGCAACCACTAAGACTGTGTACTGATCATCTCTTATGAACAAGCCCTCTCTGTCCAATGAGCTCCTGACTCTGATGAGTCCAGTGTCCTCTGTGATCTCCAGCCAGTTTGCAAAATCATGCAGCAACTTATATCTGACATCAAAACAAAAACAAAACAATGAGCATGACAGACACAGTGGTGCACATAAAATGGTATTGTTTGCATGTGTACTATAGTAGTACCTTGGAGTTAGGGCTGCCACGATATCAGATTTTTCACTACTCGATTAGCGTAGCCAAAATACTTCACGATAAATGATTAACGATATATCTCGACATCTATAGAAATCTTGATTTATATATATATATATATATATATATATATTTTTTTTTTATGATATCATAAAATAATGCCATATCATAAATAATGCTGTTTTTTTGGCCAAATAATAACACCATAGCATACAAAAAGAACATTACACTTGATAGAGACTAAAATGCTAACCATTTTTAGCTTAGCACTAGCGATGGGCGCTTTCGAAGCACTGCTTTGTAAAGCTTTGATACCTTTGCGAATCATTTGTTTTGTAACAGTGGTCAGGAGCACGTATTAAACTGTAAAGGTCACGTGTGATTTCAGTAAACAAGGCTTTTGTTATGTCACTCACAACTGTTTCGCAATGTTTCGAAATTCGCTGTTGGGGGCCGATCACAGCGAACCCATGAATCACTGATCAACACCATTGTTATGGTTTTTACCTGATCTCGTAACAGTTGTATAAATTTGCAAGACATTTTTAATGAGTTTTGTGTAATTAAAAGGAAGAGTAGTAGTTAATAGTCGCTTGGCCTGTTTAGCCCCTTTAGACAAGTCCTGCAAATTGATAAAAGAACACGTTATACAGACACTTCCTATTTGTTGGTATTTGATCATTTGTTAATTGCATTTAATAAATAAATACTTTCAATAAAACCTTTGCAGGAGTTTTTTTTTTTGCATTTAAAGAGTTTTGACCAGCAGGCGTCACCAACAGGCGTTGAGCAGTTTGAAATATCATTTTGCGAAGCAATTGGTTCAATTGATTTAAAGCTTCGAAAAGGTTAATTTCTTCCATCACTACTTAGTAAAGCGTCTAAGTACAACATATGAGAAAATAACATATTTTCACCCCAAACACGCAATAGCGTCAATCAAATGTTTGAAATAACTTCCATCTGCGAACTGCTTTGGCTTATCACAGAATGAGGCAGAATTATATTATTTTATAGTATTCTATACAGTGATCAAGGCTATGTCGATTAGCATTGCATTTTCCTTATAAAATATACCTGAGATGGTTTGAAGAACACAGATAAAAATACTGTTGCGAGTATGAATGAAACAAATTACATGTGAGACTTTAACGCGGTGTACTTTTCATTTTATGGTTTGTTATTGCGATATATTGCAACGTAGTAGAATAGTAGAAATGATGATAAATAATAAATAATTACTGTAAATACATAAATATGTTAATAATTTAATACCATACATCAAAGTACCATATAGTATTACAGTACCATTGGAAACTGTTAAATGGTAGGCTACCACCACTGTACTTTATTGTAAATGCCTTGTGATTAAAAAACTTTTTAGTTGGTTTTAAAAGTACAATGAAATAATTCAGATTAAAATAACATACAGCGGGCATTGCAATGTTTACTGAATCAACGTCATGTTTCAAGGTTCACTGAATCACTGTTGAAATCTGTTTAAATTTTGCAAATCGGATCAACGTTGATATCAAAATTGTTCAAAGTTGGTTTATAAGTATTCTGTTAACCTTTTTACAACCATTTAACATTAAACATTGTTTCAACGTTGAAACAACAACGGACATTATTATTATAACTTTGGTCAAGGTTGGTCACATTATAAATACCCTAGATAAACACACAAAAATGGGGTTTCATGATATGACACACCGTCTAACTGTCTTGTTTTGTGTAAGTATGCATGTAAAACCTTATTTTCTGCTCTCTAGCAGTGTCTGGGTCGTTGGCTGTGTATTTTTGGATGGTGCTGCCCACCACAAGGTCCTCATAAACTATGATCCATTTCTCTGCAGGCTCAAAGACAGGTGGCTCGTTTACATCCTGCACAGTGATGGTGACGGTTGCAGTGGAGGTGGGCAAAGGAACAGCAAAAGGAACCTCGTTCGTTACCACTACCAGCAGAGAGAAATTGTTGGCCTGCTCGAAGTCCAGAGCCTAAAAATATACGGACAATTGGATTTTTATTTTCTGAGGAAAAACAAACAAAGAAGAAGCTTGTAACAGCGGCACACATGCTGGTGGAACGAATAGTCACGGTGCTATTGTGAAGACAATGAAATACTCAAAAAGTGTGCGGTTAGTGATATTTATTAAGGTTTTTTTTATTATATATTTTTAAGACTGCATTGATTTGATCAAAAATACAGTAACAATGGAAATATTTTAACAGTGCTGTCTTCAGTGTCACATGATCCTTCAGAAATCATTCTAATAGGCTGATTTGCTGCTGAAGAAACATTTTTATCAATGTTGAAAACAGTTGTGCTGCTTGCTTAATAATTTCTTTTGTGTTTTTCAGGATTATTTGATGAATAAAAGTATTATTTGAAACAGAAATCTTTTGAAACATAGATTTACTGTCACTTTTCAAGCAAATTAATGCTTACTTGCTATATTAATTTCTTTACTGATTCTTAAACTTTTGAACGGTAGTGTATATATCCGAGTGAGTTGTATATTTTGTTTGTATATTCACTTTTGATGTTGTGATAATTCCCACCATCCTGCTGGGGCCGGTGCTGATGTTGAAGAACCCTTCCTCGTTGCCCTGGATGATGGTGAACTTTGCCAGTGAGTTTGCAGTTAAAGGCTCGTCTCTATCTGTGACGACCAACCTTGCAACAATTTCCTCAGCCTTATTTTCTTGTACTGTGCTTGCATACTGCCAAAACACACACAAACAGACTGTTTCATAACTACTCAATGCCAGATGTTTGGAAAATTAAGCTTGAAGCGAAAACAAACAATGAACTCACCGTTCTTTTGCTGAACTTAGGTGCGTGATCATTGCTATCAGTGATTATGATGGTGACCATACAGGTGGAAGAAAGACCATGACCATCCATATCTGCCGCCTCTACATCCAGCGTATACACTGTATGATTCTGTTACCACAGGGATGGACATGAACACATTTGCTTGTTCTCTTGAACTTGCTATTAATCAAACAATCATGACAACAACAAAAAATATCAGTTTCCACAAAAATATTTAGCAGCTCCCGTTTTCAACATTGATAATGTCTTCTTGAGCACCAAATAAGCATATTAGAATGATTTCTGAAGGATCATGAGACACTGAACATTACAAATTATTACCGACCCCAAACTGTAGTGTACATTGAGTCTATATCATATATTGAGCTGTAACTAATTTGCTACCAGTGATCATCATGGTGCTTTAAAATTTGGGTGCACTAGTCATAAATTGTGACTTTACCCACCCAAAAGCACAGTCATTTGCATTGCTAGAAGCACCTGACACGAACCTGGGCAAAATTCTGAATTTAAGTTGGAATGTGAATTAGACTTTAAACTTGCTTAAACTTTCAAACAAGGCATTGTCAAGCCATCATTCAAAGTTTGTCTTGATGAAAAAATTAAAATAATTTCACAGATCATTTCAATTCTACTTCAAATTGCAATTCTGCATTCTGTTTACTACCTCGATACAAATTCCATTTAAAAAAGCACTGACTGTGATGTCAGTAAAGCCAGAGTACGGTAATCCGCAGAAACCACCCACCACAAAGAGACCCTTTTGGTCCAGTGTTATTTTAGTATTATTTATTTATTACTATAGTATAATATTTGAATTAGCTTTTATTTGTATATTTTTATGTTTTTTGAATCATTTTTAAGAGTTTTTAATTAGTTCTATTTAGCTATAATTCATTTTTATTTCATTTTTAGTATTTTTAGTACTTAAAAAAGAAAGAAAGAAAATGGGCAACTAACTGAAACAGAAAAAGAGTTTAATGGGGCTGTATGTATTTTTTTTTTTTACTGTACTAAAGCACACAAATATAATATGTTTACAGAGATTTAGGAAACATGCTCACATGCGTTCACATACTTGTTTCTCCGAAAAACAATGCTACAGCCAGTTATTTTACTTTGAAATGTGCGTTCCGTGTCGCAATGTCTGTTTTTGTTTTGGTCTGTGTGATCCCACCTACTGCCAATTGACCGTTCGCAAAAGCCACGCCCCCTAGTTATTGTTACTACGCCCATCAAACAAATGGTCAAACACGACCAGCGTGACAGATTGTCATGATGGGAAGAGGTATACCCGTGCGTGTCAGTGACCTTTTTTGGAGCAATACCTCAGCGATATCCTCCAGATCGAGGCAAAAGGGGTTACAGTATGCAGTGGAGGGATATATTCAAAATATAAAAATACGCAATGAAGGAGACACGACTACTATCGAGGCGAATGCTTATACCGGTCTAAAGCGAAATCTGAGAAACCCCATGACCTGTACCTCAAATGCAACCAGCACAGCCTTGAAGAAGATTTGTTGGTTCAGTGGCTAATTGTTTGGAGTTAGAAATATATAACTCGCGCTGCATATTTAGTAATTTTGCCTCAGATACATTCGCTTTAACAAGCAGGTTGTTCATTACCACGGCAACCGCTTGCGTGTCATGCTGAATGCGATTTTCGTGTTTAAAAAGTAACTACCGGTATACATAAGAGACGGAAAGATGCAGATAACCATAAATTATTTAAGGTTATTTCTATTCGTTACGATATTGATATATGAACTGATGTTGTCAAGTAAGCTTCATGCTTTCCCCGTTGCGAACGTTCACTCCTCTACACTGTAAAGTTAGTCTACTGGTGCTGCACTGCTGCTCATTTTCCCCCAAGAATATCATGTTAACAACAACCCTTTAGAAAACGTAATTCCGTTGTAGATCCTCTTGATCTGCTTTCTCCATGTTTCTTTGACTAATCTCAGTGTCTCAGTCTCACGCACGCTGCACACGAGTTAACCATGTTCGACACATGTAACTGGGAGTGGGGCCGTCCACACTGTTTGATCCATTGTAGGCACCTCTCACGTTGTGTTTTCGGCTTTGGAAACGGAAAGAACACAACTCCTCCAGACAATCTCTCGGGGTACCTAGTGTCCGATTTACAAACGCCGTGGGCGCACCGCTTCACCATCTTGCTTGGAGTCAATGTTTAACGGACCTGCTCACATAGTTACGGTTGCTATGATGTGTGATTGGACAATGGCCGTTTTGTGGGAGGGGCCTGCGAAAGGTCAATTTACCCAATAGTATTTCGACACCACGGGTTGCCATTTGGCGGAAAACCCAGCGTATTGTAGCCAGCAAGCAAACTAGGTCAGAGATCGCAATCTAAAAAGCATCCATTTTAAAAGCTCTATGTTTAGAGGAATATTAAAACGCAGATAAATCAACTCATCAACTTAAAGTGTAAGGCTTGTCACCTTTTATTAATAATTGCACTTGTTCCTGTTGCATGTCCTGAATCTGGCAACCACTATGAGCGTCGAGTATGAGTAGGAGGGGGAGGGAGAAACAACCCTCTCCAATTTGGACTGCAGTACCCATTTCAAACACTAGCTATCAATATTACATACTGCACCTTTAAGTTTAAGTTCATCTAATATTTAGATATTATTTAAAGATTTCTTTTTGGAATTTTGTCTTTACTGAGCGTAGGGAACTGACAGGAAGCAAAGTGGAGGCAAGACCAGGAAAGGACCACAAGCTGGGACACGAACACAGGTCGGCCGAAGTGCAATTGCGCTACACAACAAAAATGATTTACAATAGCTTTAGTTTTCATAACAACCGGTCTCTACATGAGCAAAATCACTTAAGTTTTAATACCTCTCTGTCCAAAATGCCCATAGAGGCCAGACTGATGACTCCATTGGTTGGGTCAATGCGGAATGCCCCAACGTTGGGATCCTGTCTCACCAGTTTGTAACGCACAATGGCGTTTAAGGTTTTGGGGTCATCCAGGTCCTCTGCTGTCACTTTTATGAGAGGCACATCTGTATAAAACATAGTGTTTTGTGTTATTGTATCTTCTAAGAAACAAATGTTTAGTTATTGAAAGATATTTCTGAGAAGGATAGAAGGATCTCCACATCCTACTTTGTTTGGCCCTTTCTAGGACCTCTCCCATAAAAGGATTTTGGGTACAGAAGGGTTTGTGGTCATTTTGGTCAAGAACTTTTATGGTGAGTTGAACAGGGGGTTCAGTGTAGTCTTGATCCTCTGCTGAGGCATGAGTCATGAGCTGCTCAAGTGAACAGACACATAACATACAGCATTTATCAACATAAACTACTTCTATAAAGTTACACACTAACTTTGTTATGTTTGAGAGATCCTTCGATCACTGCAGGTCACTCACAACGTATTCTGCAGTTTCCTCTCTGTCCAGGTATTTGGTGACCCACAACATGCCTGAATATTTATCCACTTTGAAAAGGCCCTCGGGAGGCTGGTCGGCTCCAGCACCTGTTATTTTATAAATAATTTTCATGGAATCAGCAGCGGTGGACTTCATCTTTAGAGCAAAACATAGAAGCAAAGAGAAGAACTCTTCTTTTATGAAATGTTAAAATAAAGACAGAGCAAAGAGGACAATGATATGCAAATTAAAAATAGGATACAAAGTAAAAAGGACACATAGAAGAGAGATACACCTTCACCACTTGCTTTGGGAATGGGCCTTTGTCATTTTCTGAAATGCTGACAGGAGGAATCAACCAATCCCTCTTTCTTCTGATCATGCCATTATTTGGCCTGGGAATGACCCTCATCAAGACATGATGGGTCTCTGGAGTTGTGCTATTCTGAATGACAAATTTAAATTGAATAACCAAAATATGTAAATATTTTAAAAGATTTTAAACTACAGTACAATGCTTCCAAAAAGTATTTAGACTCTTTAGCTGCTTTTAAAGCAAGATAGCACAAACACTTTTCAAAATGTTTGTTAGGTTTTAGAAAAAATTATGATTAAAATGTATTTTGACAATTTGTGGTTGTCAGACGCTGGTAGAAAATTTTCATATTTAATGTGATGATTATGAACTACGGTTGTGCTTGTGAACAAGAAACCGACTTGAATCCACAAAAAAAAAAAAAAAAAAAAAAAAAAAATGTAATTGCAAAAATGTGACAGATGCCACTTGTTTTTGCAATGAATTTCATTTCAAATAAACACCCAAAAACTTTTTGGAACTACTAAATACTTTTAGAAATAATAAAGGAAAATCAGAAAACAGTTTTATAATAAATATATAATAAGGCAATTCATATACCTGCCAAAGCGGGCTGCTGTTTCTCGTGTCAAGCATGAACTGTCTCTGTTGAATGGCTTCCAAATACTCTGGTATGAGCTTTCCATGGATTGTGAATATCACCTGTTAAAACATAGATGAAGCATGCATCATTTTATGTATGATTTCAAATAATAATTATTGAAAATAATAAAATTATAAAAAATTTCAAGTAATCAGAAAATGTATAACTTTTCAATTGAATCCGGTTGCATAGGTAAAGTTGGAACACAGAATACTATGTTAATTCTGATACATACATTTTTTCTACATTCTATAATAAAATCTGCAGACATTACTAATTTTAAGGAATTATACACACTCATACAGTGATTAATTTAAAAAGAATGACATGACTCCGTATTGAAAATAATTTCCATATATACAGTACATTTAAAATATTTAATTTGAATTAAAATATACAATTTTGTAAGATCAATTTTCTGGAATTGAAACTTTTACAGACAGAAATACACACAGATGATGATGTCTTCATCACAACATGCTGTAATAGAAATATTTTATGTAATGGGTATTTTCAACATTAAATGTTCAGAGAAATGCAGACTAAGGATGCTCAGGTCAAAGGCCATATATACTTAACCAAAAAGTGCTTAACACAGTAGAACTAACAGTCATTTGATTAGCTTAGATCACAGTGAAGAAGACTTGAGTGATATTGATTTTTACTCAACTGAATGTACATGTATCTTTCTATTCAGGAGACTCACTTGGTTGTTGTGGCCAGTGATCTCCCGGCCGTGAATAAAACTCTACAAAGAGCAACCTGGGAGTTGTGTCAGATATTTGTTGCGCAGCTGAGGAATAGAAGTCGGCTACTAAAGACTCTACGCTCAAAAGACCACCGCAGAGAAAGTGATAGTGTTGGAAGACTATAGAGCCGCCCTCGGGGTGAGGCTGTAATACTCTGAGTTAGTACGGACCAGAGAAGGACAGTGAGAATGTATAGATGCTAAAGACCTGTGTGCTCATGTGTGATTGAGGTAGTGATAGTAGCTTATTGACGGGACGCCGTCACCTTACTTCAGGGAAGTATTGTCTTGCATTGTAAGTATTCAGGGAATTACCTTGAGATACTGTAATTATTATTTTTAACAACTGGAAGTTGTTTAAATTGTCCGTGGTGAAGAGGTCAGATTAAGTAGGTTGCATTCGTATTAAGAATTTCCACAACAATGCATAAAACAAAAATATAAGAAAAAGATAAGTAAATTAAACAACACTCACCAGAGACAAAACACAGGTATATCCCTTCATGCTCACAATGTAAAGGAGTAATGAAATACACTTTCTCTGTGTATCTCTCTTCCTAGTTCCTAGAGGTAGCTGTGCTGTAAAGTCTGATCCCAGTATGTGTGTGTGTGCATTTGCATGTTTATGAGAAGGTGCTAAAGGCAAAGCGTCAGAGGACAATGAGCTTCACGACAGATAATGGCATGTTTAAAAACATGAAGCAAACATACGTAGGTGTAGAAGTCATAAGCAGGACAATTCAGTTACAGCTTCAACAAACTACATCCATGATTGTCATAGAAGTGACAAAAAATATTTGACAAAATAAAAAAGTGTTTATGTTCTAATATAATAAAATGCACTATTTGCAGTGTAATGATGTTTCAAGCCTCGGGGCGAACAAATAGACAAAAGTGCTGCTATGTCATCATGGAAAAATGAGTTCATGAGAATTGTTTATTTTATGGAGATGCTCCATATACTGTAAATAGATTGCACTGACAGCAGTGCATCTGGTGAATTTGCTGGTAAGCCTTTATAAAACTGTTCCATAATTAATATGTAACAATGCAGGAGCAGCACAACATTAACTCTGCAGTTACTACCATAAACTACTGTAGAAAGGTGGCAAACAGATGATTTGGGTTGTTGACTTTCAGATAATTACGGAATCGTATGTAAATACTGGAGAACAACTAATGACTGACTGTTTCAACTTTAAAATAATTATATTACACAAAAGTAACCTCTTAAATCTAATGTTGATAGCTAGCATTTGGATTCATTCAGTAGCAATAATTGCCAACCATTTCACTGTTCACCATGATGTGGTTTTCTTAAAAACATTATCATACAGTTTAGGACAAAACATGGAACTCAAGAAACCCAATAAGGATGAAGCCTACGGACTGAAATAACTCATAAGCCAACTCAGAACAATCACCTGGCGCAGTAAAAGCTAACTTGCCTCTCAGAATTATATGGAAGTGTGTGTCAGAAGCATCTGGTTTCTTTAGGATTTCTCTCCTGATCATTACCAGTAAGTGTCTATCTGGATCAGTATTTAAACCTAATCCTGCTAACCCATCAGTAATGACTCAAGTTTTACTATATCATTCTGAAAAAAGTACTATTATCTGATCTGGTATTCAGACATTCATGACAACACTCGAGTCATTAAAGTTGAGTTTGCAAGATTTTCTTAATAAGATTATGTAAAATAATACAGAAAATACAAGTTCCTTTGGAAACACTTAGGCATAGTGATTATTGAGAAAAATGTAACATTTACTTCAATACAGGGATAAACTAGATTAGAGAACAAGAGAAATCTAAACTGCAAAAGGAGTTTTTAGTTAGGACATGATTTACTACAATAGAAAGCTCATATTTCTATTAAGTAAAATGGCTTGTAATGATGTTCTGCTAGGCAATGTAGAGATCTGTAAAAATAACAAAATAAGATTTGCTGCCAAGTTTAAGCTTAAAAGAAAAACAAACACTTAAGGCTTTAACAGCCATTTTTATTTTACAATACCTTTACCAGGATATTTAATATAGTTTTATATAGTTTAACACAGCAATAGCATGAGAGACCCTTGGAAAAAACACATATATTGGACATACATGGCACAGAAACATTTCCTAAGAGTCTCACAGTCCCTAGAGTGGCAACTCTTCATTCCCAAGACAATCAGAAGCTTCTAATAAACCTCAAAAAGATTACAAGGTCATACCTTGCTCTCTCCCCCTGCAAGCATGGTAAATTATAATAAGGCATTTTAAGACAGATAGCTCTGTAGTGTTATTCTTACTCTTGCACATTCCAGATTTGAACCCAAGAACCCCACATGACCATCAGATTAGCTTAGTTTATGCTTATAGAAATTGCTTAGTTTATGCTGGCCAAATGTCTCCTGAAATATAATGTATAATGCATGGTCAGGTACTCCCAAAATCATTTTTGAAGTATACAACTGCCAATGTTTTTCAAAATCAAGTCATATGGAGGTATACTATGAAAACGTCCTCCCAGAAAAATCATAAGCTATACGATTCACGACGTACTTATATTGTACATTCAAATAAAAACTATTCTCCCTTCTAGATGACGACTGCAGTATGACAGTCATATAAATTGTTCCCAGAGTAAATGAAAAAGCAAAAACATAAAAAGCTTCAGTCAAAGGCAGACAAGAAGTGCTTTCCAACTAATGCCGCAAACATAGCTATATTGTTTAGTGTAATTAAGGACACCCTCACAAAAGCATAACCCGGAACAGATTATTGCATTAAAATGTAAAACTTTCATTCAATAATGGGCAATTGTCAATAAGGCAAGAGATAAATAAACATTCATATAGGCACTCAAGAGACTTACCTCATATATATAAACTGGACTGCTCTTACTACATGGCTTACCTGAAAATTGATGGCAATGGCAAATCTATCTATCCTTACAGAATCTATAAGTAGTATTAGTAGTAAAGATCAGAAATCTTTACAAATATGCCACTATTCTGTATGCATCTAATAAAGCAGTAGAACACGCATATGTACATTATGATACACTATTACGTAAAACAGTCCTGTTTGGCTTTTGAGTTTATTCTCAGAAGCTCTTCGTGTATTTTTTTTTTTGTGCCACATATGATCTACTCAGAGATCTCCTTTCTTAGTGTTACATGGAGAGGTGTCACATTTGTGTTGTGTTACAGAATGCTCTCACGAGAGGTCCCAGTGTTAGAGGACGTGCTGGCCCGATTATCGTTAGAAACAGGCTTCCTGTTCCAGGTAAGAAAGTCCAGTAAGGTTTGATTTAGTTTCTCCATCCAGTCAGACCTCTCCTCTCGTGTGTCTGCTGAAAACCAGCACCTGCACAACAAAAGATCATTTACATACAACTTAAATTCAAATCTCTAGTGTAAACTAATAAAGAAATTTTACAGGACTGAATGCAGAAATGTGAAGCTCATGTGGTTTTGCGCGATTTTCTTTTTTGGAGCTCTACGAACATGATCACTACAATTAGGGATGCACCGAATGTTCGGCAACCAAAATTATTCCGAATCAACCGAATAAGTGAAAAGGCCGAATAAATTTTACCGAACAATGATGATTTTGATGACGCGATCAAATGGCAACCAGCATAGAGTGAGAGGCAGCGGCGCGCAGCTCACGCTTTATGAATCCAGCAAACATGTTGTCTGTGTGGAAGCATAAAGTGTCCGAGAAAGACTCAATTTTGTTGTACCGGGCTGAATGACGCACACCTGAAGCGCTCCCTCCTCTTTGCGCCTGAAAGGTGAAATACTGACACACAGGTGTCAGTCAAACTGCCCATCATGTGGAGTATCTCACGTAAATACAGTCGGTTATGGCTTAACCGCCCGGATATGTGTCAGTATACTGTATTACCAATCCAAGCATTTGGTCTTAAAATGACAGCAGCCTTAAATTGTTGTAGGCATGCAAACGTTACATTCTTTCAGGCCTAATATAAGCTCAAAGATGGCCAAATAAAAATATCATTAGTTTAATAATTTATTTATTTTAACTTTTAAGTTATAGCCTATTGTGCTTTGTTGGTATAATGTCTGCTGGAATGTAAACAAAATGTTCATTGTTAAATAAATATTTTTCATTTCTGGCTGAACTATTGCTTTAAAGTGGTACTTCGCTGGCGAAATGGAATACAAAAATGCAAAGTATCATCTGTAGTTTTCATGGAAGTCCTGGTGCTTTCAAAAGTCTTCAGCTGACAAATAAACGTGCATTTCTCGGTCCAGCTAACATGGAGAATGAGTAAACGTTGTTCATTTACATACTATCGACATTGTAACAATACAAAGCAGGTTGAAAGGGGATGCATTACTTCTTCAAGGTCTGGCTGTCTTCTTGCTGAAGGGTGTTAGCCTCTACTAACTCAAAGGTGTGCGGCCGTGCGCAGGACTCTCGCTCCACAGGCCTGACACTGCAGAAGCCAAAGAGAGAGAGACTGCCATCTGCTGGCTGGGAGAAGAGATGATAAAAAGACATTAATGAGTAGAAAGTAGAGATGCGCGGATGGGCTATTATTTCATCCGCAACCGCATCACAAAACTCATCATCCGTCCGCCATCCATCCGCACCGACGTTTTTGACCAATTTTCAAAACAGCACCCGGCCGCCATCCGCTGATACAAGGCGCTGCTGATGACAGCCGCGAGACTAGAAACCGCCCGCCACCCGCCCGAATTTAGTTAAAATATTTTTTTCCGTCACGTCATCCGCCCGATCCGCGGTTTATCCGCGGCTATAACCGCCAACCGCGCATCTCTAGTAGAAAGGATGCGCATTGCATACAAACATAGCTGAACAAACCCACCTTGTCGCCCATCTCATTAGGATGGTTCCAGTAAAGCAGGTGTCCTCCTTCCAGAATGAAGTAGAACCTCTGCCAGGCTCCAAAGCCACTCACATCCTCAAACATGGTCTACAAGTGGAAAAAGAAAATATAAATTTCACAGCACATTTCCTACACAAACAGATCATAAATAATAATCAGAAATAACGAAATTTTTTGGTCCAACACAGATGAAATTAAAGGGTTAGTTCACCCAAAAATGAAAATTCTGTCAGTATTTACTCACCCTCATGTTGTTCCAACCCCGTAAGACCTTCGTTCATCTTCGGAACACGAATTAAGATATTTTTGATGAAATCTGAGAGCTGGATCACTCCTCCATACTAGTCCATAGGCTTCTTCAGGGATTGAACTTGCCGGCCTTGAAAAGTTATTAAATACATCGTTAAAATAGTCCAAGTGACTACAGTGGCTCAATCTTAAGTTTATCAAGCGACGAGAATACTTTTTGTGCGCAAAACCCCCCAAAAATAACGACTTTATTTCAACTATTCATTTCCTTCTCTTTGGGCCTCTAGTCAGTTAACGTAGTGTGATTCCGTAGAGCTACGTCACACGTAGTCTCACTATTGGCCGACGCTGGTCATGTGCGTGATGCGTGTGACGTACAACAACAGAAGCTTACGCTATTACACTAGTGAACTGACTCGAGGCCCACAGAGAAGGAA